CAGTATTAAGGAACAGCAGAGTCCACACCACGGTTATAACGATAGAGGCACAGAGAAACGATATCGTTGGAATCACTTTCAGAAAAATTTTTCCAGGCTGATGAACAATAAAAACATTGACACCCAATCAGAATCCACCCTGCTATAACAAGCTCGAGAATTTAAAGTGGCAGATGGGCGTGCGCTTAGAATAAACAGACGATATCGTCCGCTGGTGTGTACGCTAATATCGTTATCTTTATAGTTATCGTTCTTGGTGTGAACGGGGCTTTTTACTGGAATCAAAATAAGAATCTAATCCAATCAGGAAATCTGTATTGATACCCAGCAATGCTAGTTACAACATCAAACCTCTTCATTATTTATGACTCATGATAGTTTTTTTATTTCCACTCTTTATGTTCTGTCTATGATCTGCAATGCGTTAAAGGAAAGGGATCTATTAAAGACATTTCGGATCCCAGTGGACACGTTTATCACTTATGTGATGACACTGGAAGACCACTACCATGCCAACGTGGCCTATCACAACAGCCAGCATGCCGCTGATGTCACACAGTCAACACATGTGCTGCTCTCCACACCGGCACTGGATGTGAGTATATGCCAACATGGGACAGCCAGTGCCCATTCAAAAGCAAAACTTTCATTATCTGAAATCAGATTTCATAGTCAGCACTGACACTTTACATAATGATCATCATACTATGGCAAAGTTATTGACACGTTAGTGTTATTAACAGTAAGCTGCGAAAAGGACTCAATGCAGTACTCGTGCTGATGGACACACAGCCGAAGTGCGAGCACAAATGCTGCCTCTCAGAGGCATGCGATCCTGAATTCTCTTTCATTGCATTACACCAAATAATGTTCTTTTTAGCAACGTCATATGACCCCTTTAATATAACTCTGACTGGATTCGTCTGAAAGAAGAAAGTCATATACACCTAGGATGACTTGAGGGTAAGTAATTTATGGGCTAATTTTCATTTTTGGGTGAACTAACCCTTTAATATACTGGATTTGAGGCTAAATATTGTAAATAAAATGGGCAAAATCAGCAACAGTGTCCTCACTTGTTTATGTAAAGGACCCAAGAAGACCCTGAAATCCACTGATAGCCTGTCCTGCTCTTTTTTACAGACTCAGAACTGGCATTAATGTACAACGATGAATCTGTACTGGAGAACCACCACCTGGCTGTAGGTTTCAAGCTTCTGCATGAGGAGAACTGTGACATCTTTCAGAACCTCACCAAACGGCAACGGCAGAGTCTGCGCAAGCTGGTCATTGACATGGTTAGACCCTTACTGCACTGCACTGAACCTCAGTGCCTTTTTTTGTATTCCTGAGGGTCTACATTTTTATTTCCGGTGTAAATGGAAATAAACACACTTTTATTTCCTTGTCTTCTCAGGTTCTGGCAACAGACATGTCAAAGCATATGAGCTTGCTGGCAGATTTAAAGACAATGGTCGAGACCAAGAAAGTGACAAGTTCAGGTGTGCTGATGCTGGACCATTATAATGACCGAATACAGGTGTGTGTCTTTATCATGCAACAAAACAGTTCAAAACTATGACATGAGTCTGTAAGTGCAGACTAGAAAAAAAACACAGACTACTTAGTCACAAGTGTGTACTGTATGTGTGTGTAGGTCCTGAGGAACATGGTGCACTGTGCTGACCTTAGTAACCCAACCAAGCCCCTGGCAGTGTACAGGCAGTGGACTGAGCGTATTATGGAGGAGTTCTTCCGGCAGGGCGATAAAGAGCGAGAGCGTGGGATGGAAATCAGCCCCATGTGTGACAAACACACTGCGTCCGTGGAAAAGAGTCAGGTACACATATAAACACCCACACAAACATACATTCTCAACCTTCGCTGACATAAGCTGCTCCTTAACTCTCTCTCTACATGTTGGGTTTCCTTTTTCAGGTAGGATTTATTGATTATATTGTGCATCCCCTGTGGGAGACCTGGGGGGACCTGGTCCACCCTGATGCTCAGGAAATTTTGGACACCCTTGAGGACAACCGGGACTGGTACCAAAGCACCATTCCCCAGAGCCCATCGCCACCGCCTGACGGCCCAGATAATGAGCTTGAATCCTGCACGAACAAATTCCAGTTTGAGCTCACCCTGGAGGGAGAACCAGGACAGGACTGTGCTCCCAGTCATAACCACATAGACAGCCATGGTCAAGAGGTAAAGAATGAAGACGAGGAGGCGGATGAAGCTGAGGAGGACGAGATAGAGGAGAAAATGGAGGACGGCGAGGAGGTGACAGAGGTAGTGGTCGAGAGGTCGGGACGGAGGCGACTGCAGGTTCAGTCAGTAGTCGAGGAGGAAGACGAGAGACAGTCTGATGAGAGCCCCGTGGAGGAGGAGAAGTCATCCTCTCCTACCGATGACACGTAATACTCGAGACTCAAGGAACAGCTGTCTGGCCCAGGGGACTGAGTAGGGGCCATCCTTCAAAAACTGTCCCTAGTCCGTTCACATAGGACTCTTCTGTTTCTGCTAGCTAGACCATGAACAGAATAAGTCTTGTGTACCAATCCAATAAGACATTTGATTTTATTTTTCAAAAAGGGAACAAAATAATATTGATATCAGAGAAGTATTTAACACAGCAACTGTAGATTTCAAGTGCGAGCTGGAGTCCGTCCAGCAGCAGCGAGGGTGAGGTTTGACGGAAAAACTGAATTGCGGTGGGGTTTGTAAAGGGCCATTATGTCAGTGTAGCACTCTGGAATTCCTACACATACGCATACACACATTCACAGGCGTACATGAATTTTACCCTAATATAACGATACCACACAGTACATGCAAACACACGGTTGTGTGTCTGTGTATGTGTTCAGGGGGCTTGGATCTGAAAGGAATCTCTTTGGGAAAAAGCCATCATAAAAAGGAGCATCAGTGTCAATAATCAGTTTTTAAAGCATTCTAACAGGGACTTGAATCCTCAGAATTCACATGCTGAGTGAAATCTGAGAGACTCTTTTCCAATTTCTGTCATAGAGAGAACACAGTTGCATCTGCCGGGAGAAAATAAGATTACATCTGCTGTCCAGAAGACTGGAGGGATGAGTATGTCGGAAATGATTTGGATCATCAGTGGGTCCCACCCCCTCTTACCCTTTACCCAGGAGTGCTACCAGTGCAAGATGGCCGTGTGCCTTTCTGAACCACCAGCTTCAACTCTGGAGCTGTTGTGAAGCAATGCATCGTGGGACAGGAGTGTCTGCTTTTGTCTTCATTTTTGATTGTCTCTTTCTCTTTTTAAGCAATCTATCTCCATCGAATATGGTTCTCGTGCCGGCATGGAGCATTCGCATTGTCTTTGTGATAGTTCCTGCTCTCATCTGTCAGTCTTCCTCTGTCGCTTTCAAGCCAACCGAGCATTTAGGGCCTACATTAGATTTATCACCGTCACTGCTTACGAACTGCCCTCACTATCCATGTGAATAATTAATGATAGTCACTATCTGAGGATAAGCCATGTGACGCTTTGAAACATATGTTTTGCCTTCTTTTTGTTTTGTTTTGTTTTGTTATATCCATTCGTGCCAAATTTGTAAAAGCAAGAGTCTCCTCAACTGCAGCACACATTTGCACAGACTCTCTCACCTTCACCCACTCATGCTGGTAATGCATTCTCTTCACCACAACGCACTAAGTTATGTTTTGCCAAAGGAATGAGTGCTTAACTGACAAGTTGGAGGAGCCTCGATCGGTGGCTAGAACAGAGGATGGGGAGAGAAGTTGAGGCATATCTGAGAGAGAAAGACGCTGGTGGTTAGAGGTTGGAAAGACGTGCAGTCATATTGAGTTTGATGCTTTTTTGCCTTAATGTCAACTGCAGGGTTTCTACCTGTCATTTTGTGGAATAATAAGATGTTGGCATTAGATCCCAGATTATTTGTTTCATGTCTTATATGCCTTCCTAAATGTCTTTGAATAAACAATAGCTCCATCTGGAGATGTAGGGTATTTTTTTCTGCATAATAATTATGTTTTTAGATAGTGTATAGTTAGTTGAAGCTGTCTCATGTAAATTCTTCCTTTAAGTTCTTTAAGACTACCACTAGGTGGAGCACTAAGCATATGTTTTGTATTCTGGTTCTTTGACTGAAGAAGACTTGTACATGTGGTTTGACCTGTTGGTTTTGTTTTTTTTGTTTTGTTGAGGAAGCAGTAAAGTATGACGCACTTTTTTTGGTCTGTGCATTTAACAAGGAAATCACTGCTCCGAGTCTTTATTAAAACCAACAGGCATTAGATCCCAGATTATTTGTTTCATGTCTTATATGCCTTCCTAAATGTCTGTGAATAAACAATAGCTCCATCTGTAGATGTAGGGTATTTTTTTCTGCATGGCAAAGTGACTATAATGGAGTACAGACAGAGAAAGCAGGTCATACCATTAAAGGAAACTGTTGCTCTAATGTATTTCATGTCCAGCATCTTTTAAGGGTGTCTATTTGACTTTTCACCAACGTTTAAAGGGAGACAGAGAGAGATAGAATGAGAGTGAGTTCTCAGGTTGATGTTAGATTTGCAATATTGCCTCTCTCATCTCTCAGAATTTGTTTTGGTTTGGTTTTAGTTCAGTTGAATGAATCAATTGTTGCTATATTGTGGAACAGCGTTTGTGAGCATCCCTCTTGAAATAAGATGGCAAGCTAGTTTCTGCTGGTCAGTAGCTTAGCTTTACACAAGCCTGTGCCTGTCAGAGCAGTAACTCGAGGTCATACCAGTACGTATGTGATAACTGCACTAGTCTGTGACAGGATTAGAGGATGTCACGGTGTAAGTTTTCATTTGGTGGACCACAGGAGGAAAGGCCGAGGTTACACGATCGGTTTGTGCGAACTGATGACATTCCCATATACATTTGCCTGTCTTACCTTAAAATTGCTTTGTTGTGTGGCTTTTCGTTAATGTTGTGAGCACTATGCTAACAAATAATATTTGCCATTTTAACACGACACTGTAGCAATTGTTTCTTATTAAGAAATTATTCAAATTAATTCCTTGCTGCCATTCTTTTTGGATATCAAAAGGAAAAAAACTAATGTTTTCTTTGAACAGTTTGTGTACAGTTTTTATTTTTGTATCATTCTGGTTTGATGGTTTGGAAACAAAAAAACTACTATCTAATATAAACAGTAGACGAAACACTGCTTGTTTTGTATATACTGTAATGTTGAATTGTAAATTTGAGATCTCTCAGAATCAATCACTGTCACAATGAATCACTTTTAGTTGTACTGAACTGTAGTTGAATTGTGGAATTTCATAATTTCATTTCTTTCTCCTGTCATCTCCCTGCCATTCATTTGGGGGATTTTAGTCAACCTCCCACCACCTTTAAATGTGAATATTTGAATTGTATTGGAAAACAGACTAATCATCCGTTGTTTCTAAAACTTGTCTTAACCAGCACTTTATTTTTTCTGTAGGAAGTTGTTGTGAGATGGCTGATATCATGGGGAATGGTATAGAGTGTTGTATAGCATGGCACAGGGTAAGCACTTTAAATGGCTCGGTCCAAACGTCGTCTCTTTGGTCCTCAATGCCATTTTCTGCTAAAGCACTGAGCAACATCAGCTACTCTGTGTCAATAATCTGCACTGTAATGGCTTTTAATAGGGTTTTTAAATACTTCTGTGAGGTTAATGACCAAGAGACAGTCAGAAAGATGACGTGGCTTAATCAGAGAACAGTTTTTCTTTGTACTTTGAAGTCATGCCTCATGAGACTCTCCAATGAAATTATTCTCTGGGCTTTAAATAATATGTTACTTGTCCACAAGTTATGGTAATAATATAAATGAAAAAGAAAACACAGGAAAATGATTGTAATATTTGTACATTATATTGCTGTAATGTGTATAAGGTGTCCAAGTTATTTTATATTATATTATTTTTATGAAAGGTTTTCATCTGAGAGAACTAAGTTGTCATTTTGTGAATAAAATGCATTTAATAAGCAAACAGCTATATATAAAAAAGCAAATATATAAATATATACCAGTATATTTTTTCTTTAACTGTTCAGTACTGTAAAGTGTGTTGAAAATACAAATAAAGGACGATTTTTCTAATAAATGCAATATTTGTATTTTAATATTTTTCCATCTGCAGTCTCACAACTGCAACATGCAATCAGGCTGATTTCTGTGTATGATCACTACACACCTCATGACAGCAAACACTGAGAATATTTTGCATAATCTGTTTAGAGAATGAAGTGGTATTTAGCAAAATGGTAGTTAATATATATAGAGTTACAGTCAGTGACACTTTACTGACCCCTACAGACTGACTTTATTTAAAGACAAACGTTAGTAAAACACAATTGTTGAATAACTACTGTATTATTGTTAGAAACAGAAGATATATATTTTTTTAACATTTTTAGTAGCTTAATAATTTATACACTCTGAACCTGTCCTGTATAGGACCTGTATTTTTTTTTTCATTTCAACTAAAACAATTTCTATATATTTAAGTATAAAATATTAATAAAAGTGTAAGTGTAATAACCTATTTAAGACATCATCTCACTGTTTAACTATTTGAGAATAGGAAAATGTCTTTAAATTAAAGGTAGGGAGCAGAGTTGTGTCACCACCTTCACTAGAACTTGCATTTCCCTATTTAAGACATCATCTCATTGTTTAAAGCTGCAGTCCGTAACATTTTTTGGTTAAAAATGATCCAAAATCAATATTTGAGCAAGTACATAACCAGCCAGTGTTCAAAACTATCGCCTTACTTTAGCCCGATTCACAACGGTTAGCTTATAATAATGTTTATTATTGTTTATAATGTTTATTATTAATGTTAATGGTACGGGTAGGTTTTCGCGGGAAATTCGAGCATGGCACTGCATCATTACGTCACGTCTGTAAACATAAAGAAGCTGTCCCGGCTACTAGGCTATCGCATGTGAGGATCCTGCAGGTGGCAGAT